CTATTCAACATCTGAGAATATGATAGTGTATCTGATACGAGACCTGCCACCAGTTATATCTTTGTTCACGGAAAACCTGGCCAGTATCAAAAACCTTCAAAAGGCTGTAGTCATAATACAGCCAGCCAGACACCAGTAAAGGAATGCATCCATACCTACACAGGCTGTAATAACCAGCACTTTTCTCTACAAAGTTGCCCCCCAAACAAAAACAAGAAACAGGTATTATTATGAAAACAATACATTAGTATAACAATGATGATACATGTGTATTGTATCAATGAACCTGGTGTTTTTGTAAAGCACGGTTTTCTCTTCCATCTTCCATGTTTGATGACTGTATTTCCTGTTCATTATAAATTCTTCATAAATCCAGGTTTTGTAAAGCGAATCTACGTCATTCTGCCATTCCCTGACTGAAAACAGATCACCTTGGTATGATGAAGTCAACTCACTAATTAGATCTGCACTCTGATCAAAGAATATCCGTATTTCTTTTTGATGGTGCATACTTAATTTACATAGACCTGCATTACTGTGTAAGTTTTGTTTAAATCTAGCCTGTATTTAACTGCATTGTTGAAGATAAAGTGGCAAATTGGTTTAATTAATCATAGCCTTCTTGTTATAGCTAGAATGGGGTTGTTTTCTATGCATGGTTTCAATGCCTTGCATACTTTCATCAAGTTTATATTCTATTTTAGCTAGATTCTTTTTGAAACATTATGACATTGACTTGTACAATGATTTAACATACATCTTTTGCATTCATTATCTTCAAAAATTATCAGAGTTAGAAAATAATTGACATGATCGTTTTTAAGCACCCTGTACTTGATGGCCTATATATAGAGGATGTCTAATAGTGTCTTCAGTAGTAACAAATATGTTTCACAAGTGTGTCTTATATTTTGGTATCTTTCACATGTGAAATATATTTGTTATTATTGAAGACACCATCAAATATTCTATTTATCACCTATTCAAAAGCAAGATTGCCAAATAACTGGCATGTTTAGAATAAATAGAAAAAGAGGAAGCTGACTAGGCTTTTCATAGACACTACTCATTATAACTAATGACAAAATAGAGTCTGAATCATTAAAAATAAAATTTGATGTACATTTATTTTTATATTCACATTGAAAATGTTATTTACTCATGTCACTAAGAGAAAAAGATTTGCTGTAAAACGTTAAAAGAGAATTTAACCCGTTACAAGGTACTATGTGGCTAAAAAGATGGCAACAACCTACAGTTGTCATTGTTGATGACACGAATCCCCTTGAAATGTCTAACGTGTTGGCTCCACATTTAAAATGTTCAGTCACTGATTGCATTTGATCTCTGATAAGGTCATTTGTATTGCATTGTTTGCTGACTTTCATGGAAATGACTGTTTACCATGGAATTGAAGGTCAAGTCACAAGTAAACAACGCCTTCAGATTTCTGGTTTTGTGATTTTTGTACCAGGCTTATGATTTGTCAATTTTATCACATGATTTGTGTTCTCTCATTTCATTGGCATAAGTCTTATCAACGATATATTTTTCTATATTTCACTGGCAAAAATGTAATAAATATTGTTTATCATAAAATCGATCACAATACCTTTTATTTAAAACTTTACTCTAATTACTATAAATGATAGAATCATAATCAGAGAGTTTCTTGTCTTCTATCAGCAATACATATCCATCTAGACATGTACGGGATATTTATTACATAAAGTCTGGACAAACCAGCCAACTACTCCTTCTAAATGAGTCACCATGGCAACCACTTTGTAATGATGTTATAAGAAGTTTCAGCAACAAATCACTGCAATAAACGATCTATACCAGAACAACAAACAAACGATTTCCCAGAGGACTGAGGAAAGATTCCTATCATTGATTGTACCCTCCTGATCACAGAGACTTTCAGAGAAATATTGACTTTGTGAAAAAGAAATTGGTCTCTAAGAAACATTGGTGTCTTTTGGGATGACAAAGTAGATGAGTCGTGTGAAATGGATGAAGTGCAACAAATCACCGAGGCAAAGAATTCAACAGAATCATTTTTCCGTTCTTCTGTACCATTTTACTGACCTTTCTCTTAATTTGACATTACCCACTACCCACTGATAACCTTATGTAACTGCTGATAACCCAGTCTACCCAATGATAAACAATTGTAAACGCTGATAACCCATCGACAACCCAATCAGTAGACAACTACTGGCAGTAACATTTATTCTGTTGTGTGGAAACTGATTAAACTCAGTGAAGTAAGGATGTTTGGTATGTATGAGGCTGGCAATGTGAACTTTTAATCTACGTTCCAATCTGTGTCAGGGCAAGACAGATCATCATCTCTAGGGTATAGCACCATACTGTTAGCCTTATGTACTGATCATAGTATGCACTTGTCAGTATGTACCGTATTTATCCCAAAGAGCAACCCATGGTAAGATACACTTGTTACATCAACAAAACTACCACCATGGACAATTAAAGCATTTTGAGATGAAAATATCAACATGATGTAGAGTCAACTAAATAGTCTTTAAATGCCAAAACTCATGTCCCTTAGTTTAATGATATACGTATTGTATATACTGGTGTAAAAATCGATGTTATGATACTATGATGTGAATATAAAAGAAATCTGTTGAGAGGCTCTCAAAATATAACATTGATTGGAATGTGGTGGACAGGAAGAGGACGATATGTGACAGGACAGATAAACACTATATAAGCCCTCCACAAAATGAAAGGGGCATAAAAACTAACAATAATGTCTTTCAATTACAGCAGAATTTGCATTTTATCTGCAATATTGTAAATAATTTGAAACTTAAGAGATACAAGGTTCTAAATTCATTTATCATCCTCTTGTATTTCCGACACAAACTCAACAAGAGGCCTGGCGGCCTTGATGGTAATCAGAGATAAGTAATGTTGAATATAAAGGTTAAAGGATAGTTATCAAGTGTCATGAAACAGAAATTGTGACAATGAATATAGTAAGCCAGTGTCAATACATACCATCAAAACTGTCATCCTACACTAACAGTTCTTACAAAGTTATTTCCAGTAGGAAATAACCAATGCTATGCACAAAAATACAATTTTACAGTAAAATCAGGAAAAAAACCCTTCCTACCAAGGAAGAAATGTGAGACTCATATTGGTAATTAAAGCACCTTAAGATGCTTCCATTCATACAGAGCATTTGTTTCTAAAATATCTGGGTGTTGAGAAGAAGATTTTTGAAATTTATGTCAATTTGACAACTTTTGGCCCCACCCATCAGCCTCTAGGGGACAGTCAGGATTAATATGGGTATACCATCAAGTCGTCATCCTTCACTCATAATTCTTACCAAGTTTAAAATATTTCCAATGGAAATAAAACAAATCATGCTCAAAAATCTAGTTTTCCTATATAAACTATAGTAAACTTTACCCCCTCCCCACTGGGAAATGTGAGACTCTGGAGCCATTGAAATCAGATCAGAGGAAATTGAAAATGTTGAATTGTTTATGGATGCACGACACACTAGGCTGAATGAAGGTCATTGCAATCGGTCACCATGAGACTTTGTCTATATAAATTCAGAGTTTTGAATAATCAAATTCTACCAGTGAATATATACATACCCTAAAATAACAGGTTGGCAAACATATTAACAGGTAACAGATGGAATATACACCTGAACAGGTACGTTGCTGACCAGTCGTATTGTATGAAATATAAATGTGGTCTGTACTGTATAATGCTGCCAATATCACTGAAAGGAATTGGTGTGTACCATTGATAGTGATAAGGAGGCAAGGGAAGATTAATATAAAAGTTTTAAATCACTGACTTTTTTTTAATTGTGACTAGTTTCTAATTAACAGACTTACATTTAAAGATGGAAAACAAGTATTTTTCTCCAGAAACTTAACTTTTCATGAAACGTGACCTCCATTATAACGTTATAAAGATGCATGCCCACACTTTGTGTACTTCAGGGGGATGATTTCTTTCTTGTACAGTTCTGACGAAGCCCATAAGGGGGCGAAACCAGTCGACAATATGAAATAAACTAGTACCAACTTACCCTGAGCTTATTGCAGTTTATTTCTACTTAGTTTATTCATAAAATGTAGTTACTGATTTATCTTATCCAGTGAGAGGTGATGCTGAAATAAACTTATCACTTTATGATAACTGAGCTTTGGCCAAAAGACCACAATGTTGCTGGGACTCCAAAAACGAGATTTCTTCAGATTCGAGACATGATGTATCTATCGTACGAGTGAGTGTCAGTACTGCTGCTATCACTAAGAGGATCATGGATGCCAGATTCCTATACCTTCCCTCCCACCCCTCAACAACAATAGATGTCATCAGTATTACACGTCACTCCCATCAGGGGAAATGACATACATACTCCTGGATTCATCACTACTTATGCATGCTAGTTCTCCACCAAGCCTTGAGACTACTGGAAGGTAGTTCTGAACAACCAGGTATTTTGTAATAGGATTATGAACAGTCCCTCTGAAACTCTTGTTTCTTATCAAATGTTACTATCCTGAATCCATACCAGAACATTCAGCGATAGAACAAGTTTATACAGCATGCCACTATCCTTCATCAAAAGGATATAAGTATGTTAAGCTCAATTTATCCGCAAACCTTATATCAAACCTACATCAAAATGACGGGAAAACAATGAAAAATCCCAACACATTTCTATATGCATTTTGCCTAATTGAAGCCATACACATTCTTCTTTTTGTTTTACCACAAGCCTTTGTAATAAAAAGAAATTGTAGATAATTTGCCAGAGGTATGCCATAAAAATTCCTACACTGAAAATCAGTCTATTCAAAATGGTCTCCACATGCACTTGGGCAGCTTTGCAGTTGGCAATCCACTTAAAACATCCAGACACCATTGTAACATTCCTTTTTAATCCAAAGTGAGGTTTTTTAATGATAATTCAAGAAAGAAGGTAGACTTACCTTGTTTGGTCGTGGTCGTTTCCTGTGTCTTGGTCGTCACAGTCTTATTATCCTTTTGTTCAGTAACAACCTCCTGTTGGAATTTAGAAGAAACTGATAATTTACTAACAGGTTTTCTCAAACCAGCACGATACGACATTTTGGCACAGGTAATAAAATCCTATTCTGAAACAGGTGTTGAACACTAGAAAATTTCTGCACAATTTTACTTTCTGTGAAGTTGACTTGTTTCTGTAGAATTTGATTTTTTGTCAGTAAAATTGTTCTTTATAGTATTTTGAAATATTTCATAACCACAAACGAAAGCTTAAATCCAATTTCAATTTTGATTTCCAGTTTCAAAGAATTTTATCTGGGATATTATTCCTGAAGTAAGAATGAGCAGACGACACTCAGAAGGAATTCTGGGAGTTCTACAGCCACTATCGAAAACCAGGAAACCAAGTGGAGAAAACAACAGGAAAAAATTAACTGGTATGGCGCACGAAAAGAGTAGTATTCTGATTCCTAGCCGTGATGAGTTGCTACATACACAAACACTGTGGAGGGCTCATTTGGGGTAAAGCCAGCAAAAGCCAGCTACCTGGTATGTCAGCGTCAGATCAGGTTATCTAGGGTAGTCAGGCCAAACCAGCAGTAAGATGTATAATCATTGGTATATACCCATATACAATATGGCTACAATGATTTGATTAAGGAAAGCATTCTTTACTTTCCTCATCTTTTCCAATGTAAGAACAGCTGGACTCAGATGAATATTTAATTTACTACTTTTGGACTAAGGTGCTTCATATAGACTCTACACAGACATGTATAATTGATTATGTACTGGAGGGGTGCAAGACGAACAACTGTGTGTATATTTCTAACAATGCTAGCATGGCTGATATCATTAAAAGAAAATTATGGTACAAAATTTCCCTTATTGAGCCTCAATTTGAAGCCCATAACAACCTCACTAATCAGACTAAGGGTTACTAAGGTACAGTGAGTATCTTCAAATAGGTGCCAAAGCTGCCTCAGTAGCTATGTTCCAAAGAGCGGAAACACGGAAAGAGTGCCTCAATATTACCCCTCTATCATTATAGACAATATTACCCCTCTATCATTATAGACAATATTACCCCTCTATCATTATAGACAATATTACCCCTCTATCATTATAGAAAACATTACCTCTCTATCATTATAGACAATATTACTCCTCTATCATTATAGACAATATTACACCTCTATCATTATAGACAATATTAACCCCTCTATCATTAACCCCTCTATCATTATAGACAATATTACCTCTCTATCATTCTCTATCATTATAGACAATATTACCCCTCTATCATTATAGAAAACATTACCCCTCTATCATTATAGACAATATTACCCCTCTATCATTATAGACAATATTACCTCTCTATCATTATAGACAAGATTACCCCTCTATCATTATAGACAACATTACCCGTCTATCATTATAGACAATATTACCTCTCTATCATTATAGACAATATTACCTCTCTATCATTATAGAAAACATTACCTCTCTATCATTATAGACAATATTACCCCTCTATCATTATAGACAATATTACTCCTCTATCATTATAGACAATATTACCCCTCTATCATTATAGACAATATTACCTCTCTATCATTATAGACAATATTACTCCTCTATCATTATAGACAATATTACTCCTCTATCATTATAGACAATATTACCCCTCTATCATTATAGACAATATTACCCCTCTATCATTATAGACAATATTACCTCTCTATCATTATAGACAATATTACTCCTCTATCATTATAGACAATATTACTCCTCTATCATTATAGACAATATTACCCCTCTATCATTATAGACAATATTACCTCTCTATCATTATAGACAATATTACCTCTCTATCATTCTCTATCATTATAGACAATATTACCCCTCTATCATTATAGACAATATTACCTCTCTATCATTATAGACAATATTACCCCTTATATCATTTTATACAACATTATCCCTATCAGAATATGAAAATAACATTTTCTATGTACTCAAAGACACCAGCCAGTTTGATTGTAAGTGGAATCACCCATCATAATGATGAAGTCTGGTTTACCTCTACGTAAAAGATATACTAAATTCCCTATATATAAAAGTATGTAATGTTCTGTCTTCAATGAACAAATCTTAATCCAGAATTCTTCAAGTATAAAGAAATCAAAAGTACATCTGAATCGGTTTCCATAGTTTCGGAATTTATCATAATGTAACATTTCAGCTACAGGAATGCTGATGAACTGAAAGTCCTTTTATGTCAAGAGAATTTTCTAGCATGTGAGCTTTTTCATATACTGGCCGTAAGATTATCAAATTATTACATTTCTATGTGAACTGCCAGAAAAGCTGCATTATAAACATGATGGCTTTGATTAAATTACTGCTAGCTCTATACATAGCTGACTTTCTAACAGCTAGCACTCGACATCTGCACTGAATAATGAATTATAAAATGACATGAAATTTACATCGCTATGGAATTTAAATTGTTAATTATAATAAAAATGTTGATGTCTTTTATCTTCTCTACAACACTTTCAGATTTGATTCAAGTTTTATCCATATTTAGGCTGGTGGTAATTTGAAACCATCACCAAATTGTCTCCCCTTCAAAGTTCCACCTACACATCAATGTATGTCTTGGTCTGTTTTAGTTGTCTGCCCTTTGATTTTCTTTCAAGTTTTATTTGAACAAATCATATAAACAGCTTTGTTATAAGAACAATTAGTGTATTTGCTACGTTTTCTTCAACTTTCAGGTCTAATTAATACCTGAAAACTTCCAATAGCTCCAATAAAGTCTACCCTCCGATGTGATCAAGCTACTGTAAAAATGCTCCCCATCCAGTACCTTCCACAGTACTGCCTAATCCCCACACTAACAGCCAGACAAAGAATATGTACAGTACATAAGTAGTCCTACTTATCATCTAAGTATAACTACAGGTTACATACTACTTCCTTCCCCTTTGTGTTAGAGATTACATTACCAGACCTTTCTTATGTTGGTGTACATGTATTTTATGTTGTAATCTATGATCTAAATGTGGATACCTACATATGATGATAAGAATTTCCAGGTGTGAATTCTGCCTGCTGATTGTCGTATCACTTTCTATGTCTATCGCATCTTTTAGCATATACCTCATTTAATCATCTATTGTTTGAAGATGCAACTGAATTTAGTAAGAACAAATGAATCCTTTCTACTGATTAAGAAAAAATTGCATTTTGAAAACTTGGCTCTTGTTATCAACACTTTGATAATGATTTATAAATGATTGAATTCCTAAATAGGTTTAATTTGTCATTAATATTGATCTCTTTTCATTATAAGCACATGTAACTTAATGATCATGAATCATTTAGAAAAAATTATTCAAAGGCAATAGATAAATATTTTAACATTTACCTCTCCGCACACACTACCCCTTCACCAAAACATCATTCTCTTCCTACCAAAAACTAATCATTATAAAACACCCCAACCCCTCACCAACATGAGGTTCTCTTCCTTCAAAAAAACAATTATCATAAAATGTATTGACTTATCTGCAGCTAATGCAAATTTACAGATCTAATCTTAAGCTTGCATCATATTACCAGAGTCACTATTGTCACTTTAACCTGAACTTATGAAGAGATCAAACAAAAGAACATGTTTAAAACATTGTGCAGGAATTTTTATATTCAACACATGTCCTGAAATCTTGTTAACAAAAGATACAAATCTGAATTTCTGACAAGGAACATGAGGAATGTTATAATAAACACCCATGATCATCTCGTAAATACTTACCATTATATAAACAACATTGTCTGACATTGTCATCATCTGGAAGCTTCATAAAGCAGCTCAGATTTTACAATCTTTTCTTACAAATTGATTCTTATTTTTTTAAGACATACTCATACGCAGTGTGTTGTGAAAACAAGTCAATGATCTAACAGAAAAAATACATTTAATTGAAACTTGCTAATAGACTGAAAAACGAACAAGAACTGCTTCTCTTCATAGTCTATTATGTGTAACAGGCAACTTGACACAAGAAATTAAGAAAGTTTTATAAAATAACTACCAAATAAAGTGAAGAGTTATCTCCCTTAACAGATTCACAATCCTAATTGAAGATGTCTTCCTTGGATATTTTTATAATAATAAAATGAAGAAAAATAATTATCATAGTTCTTACATGATAATTTTGAAGACAAATAAAATAATGTATAAATTATCATCAATATATTACATTACAAATTTAGTCTGAAAAATACAATTTTTTTCCTCTGTTATATCATTTGAACAGTTTTTTTTTCATATTTAAGTCCTCACACAATTCATTAAAAATTATTTTACATCCTTGAGAAAATTGAAAAAGATGCAATAACATACAAATATAGATAAATAAGAACATATCTATGAATGTTTATCACAAGAGTTTAAGGATATAATATATTATAAGAAATATATCACATAAAAAACAAACAACACATGTTAAGAGCAAGATTCATTAATAGTGGATGGTGGGCATGGCAGAGTAACCTCCCTTGATTTGGGGAGGGTGAGTTTATATTACTGGGCTTTGAAAAACAGAATGCAATTCCTGGAAATCATATGGACAAAATTTGTGCATTAGATATTATAAATCAGTTGTTTATTCAAGGCTTTTTTATCTGACTGATAAAACATATTTGAACAGAGTTTTAAACTTCACCAGGTTACACAATTGTCTTTTATTACCAAATGTCAAAGAATTGTTAGCAAAAAGCAAATCTAGAGATTTTGCATTCTGTTTTGATCCACAAAGAAATGCTTTCAAGGCACATTATGCAACATTTGTACAATTAAAGAGAAATAACACAACACAAATCCATTAACAGACCCAGACACAGTAAGTACAAGAAACAATGTATAGGCATATATACATGCATGATAAATACCAGCTTTTATTTACATACAAAATATATATATTTATATACAGAACTGGCAGTGTATATGGTATCGGTTGTATGGT